AAATAACTTACATATTTTTCACATTGCGAGGTCATGTTAATGAGTCAGAATAGAAATAATTCTTAATGACATATTATTGCCTTCGTGATGTTTTTTTCTCATTTTTTGTGCTGCAAAGACATTGCAGGTGAATATTAGAGGAAATTGATTAGAGGGGAATATTGAATATATTCCTGATAAAAACAAAGGAAACCAGACAGGGCGAAAAATAATAGTTGTTTGACTGCCAGAGGTGGAGGGAGAAGATTAAAGTTGGGGTGGGTGGTCAACAAACTGTGGGATGATCCGTTATAGACCACCCAGAATCTTGGGAAGATATCACACTCTGAAGCTTGGTCAATTGGCTTATTATTAGTTCTGGGCAGAAATACATTTGATCCTTGCATATTGGGACTTCCTCAGTTGTTTTATTGGGGGGGAGGGGCTATATAATTCTGCAAGTGTTATGTTATGTTGTGTTATTTTTCACTCAGTAATATATGATAAGGAGGAATTATCATTTCCTTCATCAAACTGTCAGCTATCCACTTTGCATAAGAGTGATGAGTATAAAAATAATGCATTGCACACCTATATTATTATTCTGTAATATGTAGGGATGTTGATTAATGACAGTGAAAATGAATGTCTACCAAACATTGATGCACCCCAAATAATGTGCTGATTTGTTTTCGAACACAAGTGCATGCAAATGCCTACCCTTCCTACATAATAAAATTTGTTTGTATCAAAGGTACAGAAGCATTTCATATGCATAAACAAGATACAGATACACAAAAGCTTGTTTTTTATTTCTTCTTCAATTAACCTGGAAAATTTTGTTGGCCATTGGGCAAAATCACTTGTACATAAAACAAATCCATTTTGATATCGATGAAACAATTTTGCATTTGTGGTTCCTGAATTTAGATAGATAGATAGATAGATTGTTTGTTTAATAAGATTAACACATAGCAGCCAAGAGGCTGAATTGCGTGCTAAATTTTACAAGAGAAATGATTAAATTAGTTATTCTATATTTACAGAAGTTTAAAATTACATTACAATTTATAATTCTATATTACAGAAGTTTAAAGTTACATTACAAATTAGCTATGAAACTAGTAAATTTCTAAAAAATGTTAGCCAGTCTAAAACTGAATATCAGAATCGATTGTCAGTTAATATTATTGATATGCCTTGCAGATGAAGGGAAAAAACTGTTTCTAAATCTGTTCGTTTTGGTCTGAGGAACAACAAAAGACCTGGAGTGTCTAAGGTCGTAATTTGGAAAGTATCTAGATGGTACATGATTATGCATATTAGCTACTGGTGTTGTGGTGATTTCATTAAACAGTTTCTCGCATGCATCCACACGCCTGTCACTTAATGGTTTGATGCCCGATTTTTGTAAACAATCACTGTTTCTACCACCTTTGCTTTTTAGCAGTATTGTTGCTGCTGTTGTAGGTCATGAAAGAAGTAAGATTCATATATGTTTGGCCTTTCTTCGCAAGCCAACTCCTCAGAAACAATGTTTGCATTAACCAGGTCAACTGACAAAACTCGACTCGACATAATTTTCTTGGTGTCTTTTTGCCAGTTCAATTAATCACTATTGTTATATAGCTAGCGTGAACACCAAACGTGATTGGCTGATTTGTGGTCACGTGACTTCAGATAAATGAATGTTTCCCGCCGGGCAACAAGTGAAAAATTGTTGCCCGCCCTGACCGTCCACGTACATAAATAAACAAAATGGCGGCACAACTACGATAATTAGAAACTACGATTTTCCAAGTTTGTGTTCAAATAAAGAATGTAAAAGGGAAGAAAAATACAGAACAGGAAACAGGATATGCTGCCGAAACCGTTTAAGTAGGTTCTTTAATTTTAAACTTGTTTACTCTATAGAGTTTTTGCCACGAAAAACAATTGTTGTATATGAATGTTGTTGAAGTTGATTTTTGTTTGTCGCTATATAACAAAACACTTAATGTCTGTTCCCTCGGGAAATAGTTAGTTTTGTTTTCCCTCGAATCTCAATTGAGACTCTCGGGAAAACAAAACTATTTCCCTCGGGAGCAGACATTAAGTGTATAATACTGCCCCGATTGAGGTATTCCACGTAAAATTATGAACTAATATCATGAAATGAGGTGTACATGTTATTTTGAGGCAACAAGGGGATATGTGGCAACATGGCGACTGAACGACACGCTGCTAAGCGCTCTGCGCAAAATTTAAATAATTCTAATATCAGTATGCCCAATAAAGCAGTTAAAACTAAAATTCAGAAACTTAAGAATGAGAAGAACGATGTAGAAGAATCAAATAATGAAAAAGAAATAGAGTTAAAAGATATTTATGAAATGATGCAGTCGATGATGACACGTTTAAACAAGCTGGATTCTATTGAAAGCAGGGTTATGACTTTTGAGGAAGAATTGCGAGATATGAGAGCTTCAATTGAGTACGCACACGGCGACATTAAAGAGTTAAAGGATGAGAGTGAGGCAAGAAAGAAAAGTGAAAATTTGGCAAAGCAGAAACTAGAAAAACTGGAGAAGGAAAATGAATTATTAAGCAAAAGCATCGTTGACCTTAAAGCACGGTCAATGCGAGACAACCTCATCTTTTACAATCTGCCAGAAACCAAAGAAGAAAATACTACAGACATTATCCACAATCTTCTAGAAGAAAAATTGGGTGTGGAAAACGTTCGAAGAGATATAAAGATCGACAGATCACATCGTCTGGGTAAACCGAGATCTGGGGAATCGAAACCGCAACCAATTGTAGCGAGATTCAATTATTTTCAAGACCGAGAGCAAATCCTAAAAAATGCGAAGAAATTGAAAGGTTCTAATTTAGGTATAGGCGAACAATTCCCTGAAGAAATCGTAAAGATAAGAAAGGAACTTTATCCTGAATTAAAACGAGCAAAAGACGCGGGTAAGAAGGCTAAACTGGTGCGTGATAAACTTATTATTGAAGGGAAAATATTTCATAAGTAGACATTATACATTACTATTTATAGATCATATTTTACAACACTTGGACTTTGTATCCTAACATATATTTTATCTTTAGTTTTCTATTCTATCAGCAGGCATGACTTACACAGAGAATAATGACAACCCTTTCCCTTTTCACAGTATTACAAACAGTGACTTTGAAACATTGAATTATGAAAACAGACTTAGTCTTAGCGATAATGACAAAAATAGATTAAGTCAAATGAAATTTGATCCATTTCATTTAAACGAACGGATAGCAAGGTCGGAGAATAATATAAATCTAGATACAAGTTTTAATGCCAATGATATAAATTGTGATTATTTTCTGCCAAATGAAGTAGGCAATATAATTAAAAGTCCGAACAACCAAATGCAATTTTCATTACTTCACTTAAATATCAGAAGTATATCAAATAAATTTGACTCTTTTAAAGATTTGATCAATACTACAAAAATACCTTTTCAGATTATAGGATTAACCGAAACTTGGTTGAATGATAGCACGCGCAATAAAAATGATTTTAATTTAGAACAATACGAGCTCATATGCTCAAATCGAGCGGAAAAAAGGGGTGGAGGTGTAGGTTTATATATTTCTAATCAATTGGAATTTAAAATTCGAAATGACCTATCAAAAAATCTCGAAGGTGTAATTGAAACCGTGTTTATTGAAATCATAACAAATGAAGGTAGAAATACCATTGTAGGAGTGATCTATAGACCACCAAATAACAACTTTAAAGAATTTAAAGACATAATGAATGCAATCTTAGAAAACGTTGATAAAGAAAACAAGCTTTGTTACTTAATAGGCGATTTCAATATTAATTTATTAAAATCAGAATCTTGTGATTATGCGAGTCAATTTGTTGAACAACTATTCACTTCCTCTTTCCTTCCACTTATAACAAAGCCAACAAGAATTACACAACATGCTGCAACACTAATTGATAACATTTTCACAAATAGTCTTGAAAAGGTAAACATAAGTTCTAACGGGATTATTTTTAGTGACATATCAGATCACTTACCAATAGTTCATATTATACAAATGATATATCATATAGAGTAATAAACAAGACCAATATCGAAAGCTTTAAAAATTCAGTTGAACATCGTTCCTGGAGTGAAATTCTTAATGAAAATAAAGACCCTGAAAAAGCCTTTAACATATTTTCTGAATCTATTATAAAAGCGTACGAGGAAAACTTCCCTGTCAAAATAATTAAAAACTCCAAAAAGGTAAATAAAAACAAAAGCCCGTGGATGACTAAATGCATTCTAAAATCTGTAAGAAAAAAAAAAATTATACAAGTCTTTTCTAATCAACCCAAGTGACAAAAACAAAAGTTTGTACAAGAAATACAAAAATAAACTCAATCACATTGTAAAAATGGCCAAGAAAATGTATTACGAGGAAGAGCTAGTGAAATATAAATGTAATACAAAAATGTTATGGAAAACGCTTAATGAAATATTAAATAAATCCAAAAATAGGACTAAATTATCAAAATCCTTCTTCAAAGCAAATAAAACTGATATCATTACTGATCCAAAAGAAATAGCAACAAATTTTAATGAATATTTTACCAATGTTGGACCTAACCTTGCAAGGAATATCATTAGTAACAACAATAAAAGTTTTAATGAGTATCTTACTGGAAATTACAAGTCGAGTATGTTTTTGGAGCCTATCACTGAATACGAGCTTGAAAATGAAATCAACATTATAAAACCAAACAAAAGTTGCGGTTATGATGGTATAAACGCTAGCATCCTTAAACCTATTTCCAAAATTATTTCTAAACCATTAACACATATTTTTAATTTAACATTTCAATTAGGCATTATTCCAGATAAATTAAAGATTGCTTTAGTCACACCAATTTTGAAGGGAAATGAAGAAAAAGAATTTAGTAATTATCGACCAATATCAATTCTTACTCATTTCTCCAAACTGTTAGAGAAAATGATGATGTCAAGATTAACAAAATTTATAGCTAAAAACAAAATATTATCGAGGCATCAATATGGGTTTCGTAAAAATAGATCAACTGAACTTGCTATAATTGAGTTTGTAGATAAAATTACTAATGCAATTGAGCAAGGTAAATTCACAATTGGTGTTTTTCTTGATCTCTCGAAAGCTTTTGACACAATTAATCATAAGATTCTGATTAAGAAACTAGAACATTGTGGCATTAGAGGAATTGTTAATAGTTGGTTTGAAAATTACCTAAGCAATAGAAAACAAATTGTAAAATTTGAAGGCACTCAATCAGAGGAAATGAAAATTAAAAGCGGAGTACCTCAAGGTTCTATACTCGGACCTCTATTATTTCTCTTATACATAAATGACATACAACATTGTAGTCAACTGGTTTCCATAATACTTTTTGCAGATGACACAAGTATACTCTGTAGTGATACCTCCCTTAAAAAACCTAATGAAACAATGCAAATTGAAATGGATAAGATTACAAATTGGCTTAATTTGAATAAACTATCTGTCAACACTGCGAAAACTAAACTTATTTTGTTCAGATCAACTAATAAGAGGCAAAAACAAAATATCACAATTTCGATGAATAATGAAAATCTAAAACAAGTAAAAAGCACAACATTTCTAGGAATCGTTATAGATGAATGTTTAACTTGGAAAAATCATCTAAATTCAATATAAAAAAAAATTATCAAATCTGCATCAATTATTTCCAGGATTCGTCATTTTACTAATCTCAAGTCTCTAAAACTTGTTTATTATGCATTAGTTTATCCATATCTTATATATGGCAACCTAATTTGGGGTAATACCTACAAAAACAGGATCGTGAAACTGGTAAATATCCAAAAAAAAATTGTAAGATTAATGATTTTCAAATCTTATTTTGAACACAGTGAACCAATTTTTAATGATTTACAAATACTCGATTTATACAAAATTAATTCATACCTAACATGTTTGTTCATGTTTAGGTATTATAACTTACAAAACTTACCAGAAATGTTTGAAAATTATTTTTCAAAAAACAATGAGTTTCATAGTTATAACACAAGAAGTTCTTCACTATTACATAAAACATATAAAAGAACAAACTACAAAAAACATTCTCTCGCATGCAAAGGAATTGATGTATGGAATAGTCTTGATAACCATTATAAAAAAACAGGATCTTACAGCACATTCAAAAGAAAAATAAAAAAATATTTTTTACAAATCAATTCAGTTATCTAACTCTGTAAAATAAATCAGATAACAAAAATATGTATACTCTAGAATTATTGTATGTACTATATATATACCGGGTGGCGCAAAAAAAAGTACAACTGTTTGATTACTTGTAACTCAGAAACAATAAGCAGTAGAACCATAAATCGAGTTTAATTGCATCCAGCGATATCTAACTTAAATTTTGGTATATTTGACAGGCATATTCGTCCAAGATTAACTGAGATATAAGAGTTTAAACTTTTGTTAACAATTTTGAAACGGTCACAAATTAGCTAACAAAAGTTTAAACACTCATATCTCAGTCAATCTTGGACGAAAATGCCTGTCGAATATACCAAAATTTAAGTTAGACATCGCTGGATGCAATGAAACTCGATTTTGGGTTCTACTGCTTATGGTCTTTGAGCTATATGCAATCAAACAGTTATACTTTTTTTTGCGCCACCCGGTATATATATATTTAATAGTGTACACATGCATGGATGCATGCAGTTTTCGATATATAGTATCTACGGAATCTTCGACTTTATGAAAATAATTTTATTCTGAACATTTATTGTTAATTATGAACATTCTAGTTAAATATTTTTTGTTGAAGTGTTAATGTTAAATGTATGATTATATATAATTGATTACACTAGGGGCCTTAAACAAAAGCCTGATGGTTTCTAGTAGGCCTCTAGCCCTCATTTGTAAATAATATTAATTAATAATCAATGTTAAATTTGGGCGAAATAATTAAATAAAAATAAATAAATGTGATTTATTCACCGAGGCACACAGCACAGTGGTGAATAAACACATATCCCTGAGGTGCCTCAAAATAACATACTTATTTTTCACATTGCGAGGTCATGTTAATGAGTGAAAATAGAAATAATTCTTAATGCCATATTATTGCCTTCGTGATATTTTTTTCTCATTTTTTTGCGCTGCAAAGACAGTGCAGGTGAATATTAGAGGAAATTGATTAGAGGGGAATATTGAATATATTCCTGATAAAAACAAAGGAAACTGGACAGGGCGAAAAATAATAGTTGTTTGACTGCCAGAGGTGGAGGGAGAAGATTAAAGTTGGGGTGGGTGGTCAACAAACTGTGGGATGATCCGTTATAGACCACACAGAATCTTGGGAAGATATCACACTCCGAAGCTTGGTCAATTGGCTTATTATTAGTTCTGGGCAGAAATACATTTGATCCTTGCATATTGGGACTTCCTCAGTTGTTTTATTGGGGGGGGGGGGGGGTTATATAATTT